AAACCTCAAAACTGAGGGGAATAAATCACAAATATTTATTTTTAGATGAGAAGACTATTATTAAGAGCAAAACCATTCAAGAAATGTGTTGAGATGATTTAGTGACATCTAAAGAGATGCAAATGACACACAGGGACATGTTAACCCATGGTTATAATAATAATAATAATAATAATACCACCTTAAATTAACATTTCCGTAACTTTGATGTACTACATGAATAAACTATATAAGTCATTTGCACTGTATGAAAGATTCTGAAAACGGCTTACACACAATTTCAGGAAGATCCCTATATTAACATAGTGTGGTTTTACAGTAGGTATTCTGAACTAATGTTTACCATAGTAACTGCACAAGCGCTTTTCCACTTTCCACCACTAGATGGCAGAAACACACTGATTTGATCAGCTTCAGTCTATGGATTGAGTCAACCTACATGTTTTACACAACATGAGCAACCCACTGCAGATTTATGGCCAATTGTAGCTGAATTTGTGGATTAAAAACCATGTAGGCTAAATATAAAAGGATCTGTTTGGATCAAAAGGCCCCTGAGGGTTTATAATGACATAATGCAGATAAAGAAGCAATAAATGATAGGGATATTTCATTAATTCATCTAAATTGTGATTGGAGCATGTGTCACTTTTCACATTCACTCATGGAAAACAACTCTTTTTCTGCACCATCAAGTGTTTTTGACCACAGCTGGTCTTTAATCTTTGTTTTTGGGACCCATACCATTCACTCAACAGTTATTGGGAAAAAAACTATTAATTTTTCATCTTGAACAAAACTAAAAATCCTAAATTTTTTGACTCAAAATGTTTTCTAATTTCATGGATTTTCAACATGCATTTTTTTTTTTCAAAAAGTTTAAATCATATACCATGGTTTTACCATCACTTTGCATTTTGAGTTCTTGAAATGCAGCCCACATTGAGATTTTGTTTTGTAGTTTGAGAATAATGATTTTTGAGTGAACAGACGAGCAGATTCCCTTATATTTTGATGCTTTGGAGATTTAAACATTAACGTTAATGAAGAAAGACAGCGTGGGTTAGTCATTCATGACATGCAGATGTGGATGTGTGTGTGTGTGAGAGGGAGAGGGCCGATTTGAGTTTTAGACCATCGGAGTGAGGACAATCTTGTAAAGTGAGGACATTTTGGCAGGTCCTCACTTTCTGAGAGCCTTTTAAAGGCCTGTTTGAGGGTCAAGACTTGGTTTTTGGGGTCAGGTTATAATTGGGGAAAGGGTAGGTTTAGGGTAAGGGTTTGGGTTCAATATTTTTAATTAGCTTTTATATTTTCCATTTTCATTTAAATTTTTAAAGCTGTAATTTTGTGGTGTTTTGTCATTTTTATGTCTAGCACATGGTTTTGATTCATTTTAGTTCAGGTTTAGTTTTAGTTATTTTAGTAGGCCACTTAAAGTTCAACTAAACGAAAATGAGAAATATTTCCTTTGCATTTATATTTTATTTGATCTTAGTTACTTTTATTTGAAGTAACGAAAATGTTGTCTTATGGTTTTAGTTAACAATGAGTTCCAAACATCACAAGAAAAGGGAGAAAAGCACATGTTCACAATCAATACTAGCATCACGCTTATTAAGTACTGCACTATTGAATTGTATTGTATGTGTGTATATATTTATTTATTTATTTTTGCATATACAAATTTTGCATATTATGCAGTGTACATACTTCTAAAGAATTAAAAGTAGTATGGAAGTTTGCTCCAAACCAGAAAACCACTACACATTTTATTCATTTTTATACACATTTTATCACACTTGATTTATCAATATCATATATATATGTATATATGTATATGTGTGTGTGTCTGTGTGTGTGTGTGTCTGTGTGTGTGTATATTAAAGGCATAGTTCACCCCAAAATTAAAATTTGTTGAAATTGTTCTCACCCTCAGGCCATCCAAGAAAGCATTTTTATGGATTATGGACTTGTATTTTGGTCAGAAGCAAGAGTTTGAAGTTACTGATGGATTTGTTTCAGCTTTTGTCTTCTCCAGATGTTAACTGATGGACTAGAGTGGTGTGGATTACTTGTGGATTATTGTGATGTTTTTATCTTCATTTTTGGGTGAACTATTGCTTTAACTACTGATCTGTTAAGCGTCATCTAATGTGACACTGTTAATGCCATTAATGTTAAGCTCTTATGAAATGTTATATAGTCCTGTCATAAATAAGGAAGCATATATTAGTATTTATTCAAGTGCATGTAATTTTTTGCACATTTTTTAATCACTGTCCAATTACTCTTGTTGACAAGAACTTAAAAATCCCAATTACTGTCTGTCGTCTGAACGCTGAATGTTTCTGCATCATTTCAGAAACGCCATGAAATGAGACGTAAGGAAGAAAAAACACTGAACCGTGTGATTATGAGAGAGCGAAAGGATCTTTACTAATTACTTGGAAAGACGTCACTATAATATTTCTGACTTCTGAGAGTCTAGCATGCCGCTTTATATTCATAAATTCACAAACACAGTGATCCAAAGGATATTAGGAAGTTTAAAATCTGAAATGGCTGAAGAACAAAACTACACACAAAATAATTGTTCGTCTTTTATTGTCATTCAATGGAATAAACCACATAAAGTAAAAAAACTAAAGCAAAAAGGTAAAGTTTCTGTTTTTCAGTTAAGATGCATAAATAGCACAACAACTAGCAGGTTTCCATGTTCAATAAGTCAGTCAAACCAGGATCTTATAGTGTCTATGTAGTAAAGTAAAGAAATAGATCACCCGAAAATCATCATTTACTCACCTAAAAAACATTATTTATATATATATATATATATATATTTACCTGGCCAAAATATATTTTAAATAAATGCTAAATATGTTGTAAACAGTGAAAATTAATTAAATATATTTGTCAAATTATTGAAATATATTTCGTTTCAATTTTCATATACCAATATTTATTTCAAAATGTGTTTCAGGCACAAGAAAATACATTTCCAATCTTACAGTAGCCTACATTTTGGCTTTATTCATTATTTATTTTTATTCAAATGTGTTATATGCTCACACGTTATAGACAACAAATATTCAAATGTGACATATGTGAATATATTTTCTTGGATTATAATATATGGGGGGCTTTTTAAAAATGTATTTCTATTTTTAAAAGATATTTTCAAAAATATAGAAATAATGACCAAAAAAATCTATTGTCAGAAAATATATTTACTTAAATATATTTTGAAACATATTTTAGTACATTTTTTTTTTTTTGGCCATTTTTTGTATATTTTGAAATATATTTGAAAAAAAAAAAAAAAAGTATGACAAGATGTTTTTAATAATTAATAAATGTACAACAATTCTTGGAAAAAAACTTGTTCAAAACAGTAACGCATACATGTGCAAGAAACGTTAACAGAACTGGACATCATTTAATTATGATTTATATATATATTTTAAAACATATGGAACTCAATTGTGAATAAAGGTGCATTCATGGCATGTCGGAATTACAGTAATTATGAGATTCTGACTTGTAAAAAGCATTCACATCTTCACAGAACTTGTATTTACAACTCTTACAATTTGTACCACATATGTTATATTGTTATTATTATTATTATAATTTTCCTCTATGGTTCAAACACATATGACAGTGAATAAATGATGCCAGAATGATTAGTTTGGGTGAACTAGTCCTCTAAACGCCTTTGGGCAGGTTTACAGAGAAATGACAAGACTGTACATCTCCATTAAATGTCTATTCTATTCACACTCGACTCGAATATTTCAAACTTGTCTTGAGAAATAATCTGTGATCGACATGTTCTTTGCAAATCAACTGACACTCTAAAAACATCTCCTAATCGGCATGCAGCTTCATGTTCCAGTATCCAGAGAATAAAAGTGCCTTTAAAGGTGTTAGACTCAAGCAGCAGATCATTGTGCTAGTGTTATCTTAATTATTTACAAGAACACATGAATTCTTGTTTTCTTTGTGTTGTTTTGCTCTGAGATTCACTGTATCTGCATCAAAGCTACTGGCTTCAAAAGCTTGGTCACATAATGGAGCAAAATACGCTTTGATTTGTTATACATGCGAGGAATATCAAACCCATGCCTGTTAGCGTCGAGTTGAGCACGATTTAGAGCTGAAGATTCAGATCCTTTCCATTCATGAGTGTGAATCTGAATTGAAACGGATGCTGAATTGAGAATCTACTGAATTGCAATTCCAAAGAAATTCAATACAGGCTGAGGAATTTAATTAGTTCAACATCAGCTCTAAAACATTGATATTTACAGCATTATTTTTGGCTAATTATGCCTATTTGTTTCCTGACATGTAGATGCATTTTTTTTTTTCTCAACTGATGAGTTAAAATTTTCAAAGCAGTTAAAATATTTAACACAAAACTGTACACCAGACAACTTAAAAATAACTATTAAATATTTTTTTAAATAATAAAAAAGTAATATTACCATCAAAATATGAATCTATTGATATATCTTAAAAACTGTGAAATTAAGTGTTCATTCACTGTAGTCCATAAAAGGAAAATTAGCTTATTAAATCATAATTAAATTTCAATTAAATGAATTTTGTTTTAATAAAATCAATTTTATTTTATTAAAATGTAATAATGAAATATAATAAAATAATGAACTTATTTAAAATATTTTTAATGCATTTATATTCGTTTCTTAGAATTTTCTCTGAATTAAAAATGTAAATAACTCAATTAAATATAAGAAAATAATTAAATAAATGTAAAATCATTTTACTGAATTTATATGAATTTCTTTACATTTTCTCTGAATTCAAAATTTAAATAACTCAATATTTAAACAATAAAATAATGAAATAAATTATTTAAAATACTTTTACAGCATTCATATTAAATTTCTTTAAATTTTCTCTAAATTCAAAATTTAAATAGCTCAATAATTAAACATAATACAATTATTTAAAATACTTTTACAGCATTTATATGAATTACGTCGCATTTTCTATGAATTCAAACATTTTTGCTTCCTGTTTGCAAATTCGATTCAAATTCAGGAATTGAACTTTTTTGTAAAAGCATCTGAATTCAGTTCTGAATGATGCACAACCCTGTGTAACATGTTTTGTTTTCAGTGAACTATCAGACAGACGTTATTAATAATATGCAACACAAAAACGGCGTGTGTGTGTCACACGTACAGATGATTCATCTGATTTTTTAGGTCTAGTTATTAATTCAAAGACACACTGGGGTGATGTTTCAGATCGGGGTTCAGCGGTGTTTTCTTGCTGCTGTTAGTTGTTTGTCATGATCCACCAGGACGCTGTGAGAAACAAACAGGTAGATATTAGAGAGATGAAGCATCATAACTCCTCATTAAAGATCAACAGCCAGCGCTTTCGGCTCCAGGGTTCGTGTTTAATTCCTTCTGCCTACAGGCTGAGACAGACGCATTCAGCTTGAAACAAGCAAACTAATAAATGATGTGGCCCACACGCTCTTACCTGGCATGAGCATCGTGCAGACGATCTCTGGATCCTCCAGCATGTCTATGATGCAGCGCTGGAACATCTTACTGGCGTCAGACTGCAAATAACTGCAGAGAGAGACGACAGACGTCAGGAGAAACAATCCAGCTCACATTATGAGATAATATAATCAACAACATCCTCCAGATTAAAATAGCCAGGGGTCTCATTTATAAAACTCTCCGTAGATTTCATCTTAAAAGTGTATGTACGCACAAAAGCCAGAACCTGCGCAAAAATCCCATTATAAATCCCATTCAGGAAGATTGTGCGTACGTGCATCTCCATCCCATCTCCTCCCCGAAATCACCATATATGGAGCTTACAACACCTAGTTTTTCCACTGGCCAAATAGTATTTCAATTGTTTTAAACAATTAAAATCAAATTTATGCAGTTTTGCTGATAAGGTGAACATCTTTTAGCTATGTTTAGTGGAAACAGATAGGCCTGTATTTATTGCAGTGTAAATAGAATTGTCTGCCCAAGTTTATTTTTTATAAATCCCGATATGTGTTTGAAAAATTGCATACGCATATTTTTATGCCCATTTTGTGCGTACGCAACGTTTATAAATGAGACTCCGGCTCTTTCAGAGATTTCTGAGTTACGTCTAGGTCACCCAGAAATGAAAATGTGAAAATCCCAGATATAGATGAGTTTGTTTCTTCATCAGGTTTGGAGAAATGTAGCATTGCATCAGTGTCTCAGCAATGGATGCTCTGCAGTGAATGGGTGCCGTCAGAATGAGAGTCCAAACAGCTGATAAAAACATCACAATAATCCACAAGTAATCCACACCACTCCAGTCCATCAGTTAACATCTGGAGAAGACAAAAGCTGTGTGTTTGTAAGAAACAAATCCATCATCAGCTTCACAAGTCGTTAACTGCTGGACTGGAGAGGTGTGGATTAATTTAGATTTTAAAAAGGCCTTCGATACCATTAATCATGGGATTCTCTTATCTAAATTGAATACATTTAATTTTTCATTAGACACCATTAAATGGGTAGAATCATATTTAATACATCGGTCTCAGTTGGTTAGAGTGAAGAATTATCAATCAGGTGTTGTTTCTTTGTCAGCAGGTGTCCCGCAAGGTTCAATCTTGGGCCCACTTAGTCTCAGACTTATTGATCTATCTGTTGGATTAACTAAAAAAGTGAGGAACACTTGAAGTACTTGTTTAGAAACAATCATTATTTTTTATATTGAGTTTGATGCCACTAGTGGTGCAAAAGTTACACATTTCAGCTTTAAATAAGTAAATATATTTTCCTTGTGTATGAAATCTGAGTTAATCACTTTTCATCATCATAAGAAATTCATTAAATGCATTACAATCAGGTGCCCTGAAACAAATCATCACGTGACACTGAAGACTGGAGTAATGATGCTGAAAATTCAGCTTTGATCACTGGAATAAATTACAGTTGACAATATATTAACAGAAAACGTATTTTTTAATATTAATAATATTTCACAATATTACTGTTTTTACTGTATTTTTGATCAAATAAATGCAGCCTTGGTGAGCAATAAGAAACTTCAAAAACATTTTAAAAAATCTTACATATCCCAAACTTTTAAAGACCTTTTTTCTTCTTCATTGGGGAAACACACCATCTATTAAAGCGGGCGAGTGCACACACTCCCTCCACAGGAGATAATTACATTGCAGTATTATTCACGGCAAGTTATAATTTACACTTTTATTTCTGAAATTATTTATTTCTTAAATTAGATAACTGTATCTTTGAAGACAATGAGCAGATGAGACCCACACACGAGCCCACATATGTACTTCACAACGCCGACATGTGAAGCGGCACAAATGAGATTAAGTAACACAAGATGTCACGTGGAAATCTTCTAGATGAGCGTGTGTCGCGCTGTGTGTGTTCCTGAAATGTGTGCTATTAGATGAGCCATCTGCTAATTTGAAATGAGTCTCGTTAGACCCTCAACAATCTGGCTGAGAACACAGAGGTGCATACGCACACACACACACACACACACACACACACACACACACCCATCTACATATCATAATGATTTTATGATGGCTTGTTTTGTTTACTGTGTTGAGACGTGCTGAAGTCTCGTTTGGTCTCGTACTCTATCGCATACCTTGTCAGTGTCGTGCGCTTGATTAGCCTTCTGACTAGCCGCTTTTGATTCATCCTCTTTTCTACACCTTGCTTCACTTCTGTTTCAGTTTTTATGACCAACTCTTACTATGTGTTTCCATATCCCTACTATTACTACCACTCGCAAACAATGCATCACACACTATAGGCAGCGCAATCCTAACAACCTGCGCACTTTGCCTATGTCTGCTAATACACTACTTTCTTTTTCTATTGGTCTCTGGAATTGTCAGTCTGTAGTAAACAAAGCAGATTTCATTACATCTATTACTAGTCATTCAAGACTGAACCTCATGGCCCTGACAGAGACGTGGATCAAACCAGAGTTGACACTGCTACACCTGCAGCACTCTCCAATAATTTTGCATTTTCCCACACTCCCCGTCTGACTGGAAGAGGTGGAGGTACTGGTCTGCTTATCTCTAATGATTGGAAATTTATTCTCTGGGTATCAACAGCTCCTTTGAATCACATTCAGTCACTATTACCCACCCTTTTAAAATCCATTTTGTAGTTGTTTATCGACCCCCAGGACCACAAGGTAACTTCTTGGATGAATTAGATGTGCTGCTAAAATTCTGCTCACCAAGGCTGAAATATTTGTAAAATTGAAAATAAGTGCTTTCTATGTGAATATATTATAAAATGTAATTTATTTCTGTGATCAAAGCTGAATTTTCAGCATCATTACTTCAGTCTTCAGTGTCACATAATCCTTCAGAAATCATTCTAATATGCTGATTTGCTTATTATTATCAATGTTGCTCCATAATATTTTTGCGAAAACTTTGATAATTTTTATTTTTCAGGATTCTTTAATGAATGGAAAATTCAAAAAGCAGCATTTGTATTTAGCATTTATTTGAAATATAAATGTCTTTACTGTCACTTTTGATCAATTTAATACATCCTTGCCGATTAAAAGTATTAATTTATTTCATTTAATTTTATTTCTGACCCAAACTTTTGAATGCTAGTGTACAATAGGCTACATCTTGAGGAATCACATTCTACTAGATATTTTAAAATATAAGAGCTTTATGAAAACCTACTGTGAATTTCAGAGCTCAAAACTTCTTCTCCAGGCCAAAAAGTGCATTTATTGCATCTAAACTGCACAAATGACTCTTTCTGAACTCTTTCTTCGCGGTTTTCTGGCATCACAAAGATGAACATCAACACAAGGCACACCATCAAACCGAAACACTCCTTATCTATTTTGAGATTTCTCCTTTAGTCAAGATAATCAGGTTTCAGTGAGTAGGTGTAGTGAACAGAACAGAATCATGTCCATCCATGTACCCAAACAGATGTAGGACCCAGCAGGAGCTTGTGCCCATGAAGGACTGCAGCAGGAGGCTGAACGAAGCCTCAAACTAGACCGTGCTTGTCTTGTGTTCTAAAAATAGATTCGATTAGGATTTGATTTCCAAAGACCCCTGAACCGACTCTCCAAATTACACTGCTCATCACACACACACACACACACACACACACACACACACACCTACCTCATCCAGGAAATACGGTCCTGCCAGAACTCATAGATGATGTAGCAGCTCTTCTCAGGAAGCTTCTGGATGGACACACTGAACGAGATACAGAGAGACAAACAATCAGTGCAAACATCATCTGTTGAGACATTTGAGAGAACATTCTGCTACTAAAAATAGTCATTAGTCTTTATAGTCTCCAAATTTCCATTTTGGGTTTCATCACACAGTCAGCTATGGGAATGTTAACTCTATATTTCTAAGGCCTCTAAATGATCAACATGATGCTGATAAACCTGTTTCACACTCAATCTCCTCCATGCCTTCTGATTGATCGTTTAGAGTTTTTTATCAAGTCAAAGCTCTTTTAGTGTAATTGTACAAATGTCCAGCTTAACGTGTCTTTCTGCTGTCAAATCTTGACTGATTTTGATCAAGTAAACGTCAGAATAACTGCAGTAATATCTCCAGATGAACACTTACTGGACTGAAGCAGCTCAGCTTTACTTGATTCTCCATCAATCATGTTTTAGTCTCAAATCTGATCCTCAGGATCTTTTGAGGAGCGTTTGTTTCCAGAAGCTTTACTTTCACTGTTCCTCAGCGGAGGAATGATCTTCACAAGCCTCCAGAACATCTCACATCTTCTGAGGAGCGTTTAATTCTTCAGCTCTCAATCACTGCATTATATGTTTGGATCATTTCAATCTCAATTTACTGAGACATATTACTGGAGATATAGAGCGACGACTGATATTTAGATCATTTTATGTAATTATCTGCTGTACTGTTACAAACATCTCACTGATTTACATGACAAGCATCATAGAAATATCAGCATCTGCTCTAAATTGCACAGTTTGAGTCTCTGAATAAAGTTTAGCTGTTTTTTCCTTCATAATCTCACTATATCAGATTATATGAGCGATAAAAGCCTGATATACTCAACAAAAAACAATTTTTTTTTTCTTTCAGTAAACTGTTCCCTTTCATTTTTTTCTGACTGTTATTTCATATGTGACCCTGGAGCACAAAAGCAGTCTTAAGTCGCTGGGGTATATTTGTAGCAATAGCCAACAATACATTGTATGGGTCAAAATTATTGATTTTTCTTTTATGCCAAAAATCATTAGGATATTAAGTAAAGATCATGTTCCATGAAGATATTTTGTAAATTTCCTACCGTAAATATATCAAAACTTAATTTTTGATTAGTAATATGCATTGCTAAGAACTTCATTTGGACAACTTTAAAGGTGATTTTCTCAGTATTTTGATTTTTTTGCACCCTCAGATTCCAGATTTTCAAATAGTTGTATCTCAGCCAAATATTCCTAAAAAACCATACATCAATGGAAAGCTTATTTATTCAGCTTTCAGATGATGTATAAATCTCAATTTCGACAAATTGACCCTTATGACTGGTTTTGTGGTCCAGGGTCACATGTCAGGCTTTCAGGATTATGGTTGTTATAATATGATTTATATCTTCATAATAATAACTTGATGATTTGGCATTTGAGTGAATGTGGTGTATGTTTTTCTCACTGGAGGTTGTCGTTCTGATTGGCGGTGGTGTCGGCGTAGGTCTTCAGAGTCTTCTGGAACTCCTCGAGACCATTCTCTGTCACGCTCATCTGTCTCTGCACCAGCAGAATGTTCTAGACGAGAGCCATCAGATGTTTTATTTAATATACATTTCAACTATAACACATTCTCATTTAATTGCACTTAACATGCAATTAAGTGCCTAAAAACATTATATTCAGTTCGCACTTATGTACAGTATATTATGTACTCTTTTTAAAAGTATGCTAAAGTGTACTTCTTTTCCCACAAGGGGTCAAGGTTTAAAAAACAAACAAAAGATCCATAAAGGCACAGCGGCTTTTGTGCTTTATTTTACAGGAACAGACTGAAAATGTAATTTCTGTTCACTGATCATGTTTACATTTGAACTGCTGAGACCGGATCAGTGAGTCAGTCTGAAATGTGAATGAATCATTCAGACAGATTCTGTGAACTGAATCAACCGTTTAACTGAAAAGCTCTGACTCACAAGATTCATTTTTGAGTTGGATGACTTAACCATGTTTTTCACAATTTTGCTGAACTTCGTCTGATCCTACACTTCCGTTCGCTCACTGCATTCACCCATTATTGATTTTCATTCAAAATGTTGTATTTTCCATCACTGCATTTGTAGTAAGATTTTTTTTAAAATCCAAATTTCTGCTAGTAGTCTATTAACACAGTTTAACATGGTGAATTCTTGCATTATGATGGAGGATCTTGGAGCTTCAACAGATATAAAACATGGACTGGATCAGCACTCACTGATTTGTATGTGCTGGCCAGTGTATCTTCTTTCAGTGGCTCCAACTTTGGACTCTAAAAATGAAAAGCAAACTGAAATGAGTTTAAAACATATTATCTTAATATACGTGCTCAGAACAGAAAGTTTATTCTGTGTGAATGGATATTTCAGTGTATTCACCTGACACTCCAGTTTGTCGATGAGCTGCTGCAGTCTGTTGATCTGAGAGCACCAGTGCTCATCTGTATCTACGGTAACGCCTGAGACGCAACACACAGCAACACTCAGTACACAACCCCACTCATCACCAGCAGGGTTATTCTTGATAACTAAAAATAGCGTGACTATACGTCTCTGTTTCACAGACATGTCTTGGACGGGATTTCTAAATTGCCTAAGATGTCTGGATTTTTGCTTTGTTTTCCTATTGTTTTCATACTTGCTGAAGGCATTGACTGAAAAGTAGTTTAACCAATAGCATCATTGTACATAATCAACCAATCATGGTGGGAGAGAAGGCGGGATCTACAGAAACACTCAAAGCAATGCAAATACACGTACAAATAATGTATGAGGACTGTAGAGAGCAAAACAAAGCCAAAACCCAGACATTTTGGGCAATTTAGAAATCTGGCCAGGACATCTCTGGAAAAAACAAGATACATGGTCACCATACGAAAAATAAAAATATTTTTGCTATTTAAAATTAAGCTGCAATAATATATATATATATATATATATATATATATATTAGATAAGCACTAAAATTATTAACTGGAAATAAATAAAAACTAAAACTGAACTAAAGCTAAAATAAAAATAAATTAAACCAAAATAGTAATATAAAAAATAACTAAAAAAAAGAACATAAAATTGCAAAATATAACACTAAAATTAAAAATATAATCTAATTAAATCATATTACTGAGAGATATAGAGTGACAACTGATATTTATATGCATTTTTACTGTTATAAAGATCTCATTGCTTTCCATTGCAAGTTTTCAGAATTTCATCTAAATTATTTGTCCATATAAATATCAGCATCTGCACCAAATGTAAAACTGAGGCATTTTTTTCTCCATATTCTCTAAAAGTTAAATAAATAAATAAATGAATAAATAAACAACTAAAAGCTAATTTAAAATATTAATAAAACTAGAATATCAATCATATAAATTATACTAAAATCATGTATCTCTGTGTGTGTGTGTGTGTGAGTTTGTGTGTGTGATTATGTCTGTGTGTGTGTGTGTGTGTGTGTGTGTGTGAGAGTGTGTGAGAGTGTGTGAGTGAGTGTGTTACCGGTAGTGAGAATGCCCGAGTACGGATCAGTCGGGGACAGACACATGTTCTTCTGCACTCGACGGCCACATCTTCTGTTGTTCTTCTGTATGACCAGATGCTCCGGGACTTTAACTTCAACCCTACAGAGAAAAACAACATAGGTCCTCTGTTAATGTTCTGCATCGTAGGAACATATGAATACTTTTTTTGCTTAAAATATGAAACTGTCCTTGTTTTTTTCAGCAATAATACAATGCTTAAAACTAGATGCATTCACTCGGTGTTGTTTTCAGTGAATATATCTTTAATTGTGTCCATTGTGATCAGCCGAGCGGATGGCAGATTTGACAAAGCGCAGCTGGTAAGTGAAAGAACACGGCGTCTGCACTTCTACATTCACTGCCAAAAACTGATGAGCACAAGAGAATATCATTGAATGAAAATAACCTTGTCAACGCTGTAACCCTGCTGACGTCACACACATATGTTCACATGAGTCAGAACTCTCTCTCAAGGCTGTTGTTGACCTATATCTGCTATTATCATCACCGCAGCCACCATCAATATTCCGTTCGAGCGCACGTGTATTTCTGATGTAACAGACCACAGATTCAAAAACGTGTGGAAAGGCTAGAGATTTCTGCATTTCAGCAGATATCATCTACATATTGATTTTCAGTATGAAACTGAAGCTGTGAAAATTTTTGTACTGAAATACGCAGCACTGATTAATTTATGAGAGAAGCTGAGTATCCAAGAAGAGAACGAGATGTTCAATACACCAAACACAATTATAAATGTCCATGATTTATTGTTCTCATTATTTAAACATAACAAAACTAATTTCTACAAAAAAAAAAAGTTATAATAATGCATCAAGATTTAACTTACTAATATTAAAAAAATCTGGACTAGTTAACTTTTTATACAACAAACTGGATGCCAGATATAGGCTATAGTGTTGAGTGCAGTTACACCAGTAGGTGTCTGCATTAGTGAGCATTAAATCATTCATTAGACTGATTCACTCAACAACACTGAATCATTTAGTGTTTTTATGAGTGAGTCATTGAATACTTCATTCAGCCGATTCGCTAAACAACAGTGAATCATTCAGCATCAAAAAAGTCTCTTAAAGGGTTAGTTCACCCAAAAATGAAAATGAGTGTTTTACTCACCCCAGAGCCATCCTAGGTGTATATGACTTTCTTCTTTCAGACGAATCCAGTCGGAGTTATGAGTGAGTTACTGAATCATTCATTCAACTGATTCTTTCAATAACACTGAATCATTCAGAAATTAAACAAGTGCTTTGAGTGAGTCACTGAGTCATTAATTCAACTGATTCACTCAACAACATTGAATTATTCAGTAAAGAAATAAGTGGCTTTACAAGCGAGTCATTGAATTATTCATTCAAACGATTCACTCAACAACACTGAATCATTCAGTAACGAAACAAGTGTCTTTATGAGCGAGTCATTAAATCATTCATTCAGCTGAATCATTCAAAAACGTGGATTCATTCAGGAACAAAACACTGTTAATGTGTGTTGCGAACTGTTCTGCTCTGCTTTTGTTTGGAACTACAGTATTTTCGTTAGTAGAACAAAAACAGACAACAACTTGTAATATTGAGTCTAAAATGTAAGTTACTAAATATTAAATTCTTGTTTACTGAACTGTACTATAAAAGCAATATCATACTCAAAATCTTGCTGTAGTGTAAATAGCATTTACCTCTTTTTTTTTTACAATTGTAAAAAATTTTTTTTAGGGTCACAAACTGCCCCAGAACCGACGAGCCCTGGTACTCCTGCACGGGAAACACTCATCATCATGCAGAATTAACTCACACTTACCCTTTCCGTACCCGCTGCATCAGTCGGTAAATGTCTTTTACAGCCGTCATTATTTAAAATCCTGCAGTGTTTCCATCATCAATGCAGAATAACACAGCAAACACGATTAAGCTGCTGCTGATGAAGGACACCAGCCACTGACTTTAGTGTGCTCTCAGGAAACTTGACAAGTAACAACCTTAGTTTTGTTTTCAGACACCGGCCTGAAAACAAACTTAAGGCCCATTTTATCCTGAACGCACAGAGATGACCATGTGTCGGATATAACTACTGCCCTCGACACCGTGTAGAGAGTACTGAGAGAAGCAGGATCTCCATTACAGAGAACATCAGTCAAACCTAAAGATCAGGGCTGGCACACAGAGATAGTAGAGTGGACATCTGCTGAGTCTTACTGTTTGCACTTTCCTGGTCACTTATAGTTTAAGTGTGCACTTAAGTCACACTTAAAAATGTTTGCCTGTCATTGCATTATATTACAAAATATTAAAGCTTTGTCATTTACAAAGTATCAAATATGGTGCACAGCAACAGAACAGACCTGCTGTTATTGTTATTTTGGTATTATTTATATACTATTATAGTTTTTATAAATATTTTGAATATTTTGTTTATAGCTTTTAAATTTTATTGTAATTTTATTGTTTTTTCTTAGTATTTTTTTTTTATTTTGTCATTATTATGATTGTTATTATTATTTAAATATTACTATTAAGGTTTAATTAATTTAATTTATTTATTTCAGTTTTAGTTTTTATTTATTTCTAGTTAGTAACTTATTTAAGTTAGTTGAAAAGGCAACATTTTTAAATTTTTGTTTGGTTTTTCCATCTAATATTTTTATTTTATTGCAGCTTTAGTTCAATCAACACATATGTTTTAATAGCTTTAGTTAACAATAAACCTTGGTGTTATATGTTGAATTAGCTTTTAATTTTATATTTTCAGTTTTAATTTTATTTAAATTTTAGTTTTTTTAAATAATTTTGTTATGTGCTTTTGTCATCATCATCATCATCATCATTATTATTTAAAAATTATTATTAAGGTTTAATTTATTTATTTATTTATTTATTTCAGTTGTAGTTTTTTTTTTTCATTTAGTTTTTCCATCTGATATTTATATTTCATTTTATTGCAACTTTATTTCAAAAATATTCCCAAAATCTTTTACTAGTTTTAGTTAATAATACGCCTTGCTGTTATATGATTTGATCTCATTCTGATCCTAGTTTACCTCCTTCGTCTTGTCCATGGCCTTTAGGACGGCGACATTGAGTTTCTCTAACGCTGACAGAACGTCCAGGTATTCTCCAAGATGCTGGGAAAAGTAATCTGAAACGAGAAAGAAGGTGAATTATAGGTCAGAAACCAAATATGAGTCCTATACTTTCTCCAGTGGATTTTTCGGCGTGCATTTGTGCATGTTTTAAACAAATATCACACACACACACACACACACACAGACAGACACAGACAGACAGACACTCCTACCTGATAGTGTGTCTGTATCGAGGTTACTGGAAAGAGAAGAGGAGAGAGAATAAAATGAGTCATAAGAAGAAAAAAAGCTTTAATTGAATTGGAGAAGAGTCAAGGATTTGAAGCGGTGTCATTAGCGAGGAGGATGTGTGGGCCGTCCACAGCTTCAACTGAATTTTAAAGTGTAAACAGTCCAATTATGCTTCGTTCTGTTAACATCGCAGGGCTGAGGGGATATTTCTCAGCAGATGGTAACTCGCAGAGATGATGATCTCGCTAATGGGGTAAAACCAGTGTAACAAAAATATTCTGTACTTTAACACCTTATGACCTTTACAAACTCAGATTTACACTAAAGCAGTTCAAACCAATTTAATAAATCATGTGCAAACAGCTGGTTTCTACACCAGTAAAGTGTCTGCATAAGATCTATATTATGTTTATATTGTGTAAACGCTATTGTATAGCATAGTGCCTGTCTTATAATGTGTATTGCAAACTGGTGATTTGTTGCTATTAATATATATATATATATATATATACACACACACACACACACACACACACACTGTATTTCTATATTTAAACTCCATGAATCTCCATAAAGCAAAGAATAACCACTTTTTCCCCCAGTTTTTGCACAGTGTGAACTGTCTGTATAATATTTATTTTATGTGCATAAACTTTATTGCATGTTTTAAAATATATCATATTTAATATTAAATATAAAAGTTGAAAAATACACATTGCATCATGTTTCTTTTAACTGCCCCATAAGATAAGTCCTGAATTCACATAATGAATATGAGATACAAAAATATCCTGACCGAAAAATAATATGCAGATTAACTACATATTTCTTAATGATATTATTTGCATATTATTAATAATGTAACTAGATATAAATAAAATCTAAGAAAATATGTAGATAATAAAAACCCAAATATGATAATCTCCATAAAGTATCAGCGATTAATATAATATAATAATATATTTTAAAATATATATTTAATATTAAATCTAGAAGCTGAAAAATACACATTGCATCATGTTTTTTAATTTAATTTTATATTTTTAATTTATAATATAATATAATATAATATAATATAATATAATATAATATAATTAGCAGTGAAAAATACACTTTTTTGGACAATTATCACTTAAGAAGGTTGTGAAGTCCTTCATTAACATTATAAAATAAGACCCAAAAATATCCTGACCTCCAAATCAGAGATGCAGATAATCACTGTGAGTTATGAAGGAAAGATGCCAAAGAATAAAGCCTTGCACAATCACACCATCCCACACCTTCTGCATTGTTCATTTTCATGCTGAACTTCACATTCATATTCTCATGCAGCTGAAAACAACTCAAAATACACCAGTGTGTGCTGTCACATTAAATCGCCATCACAGTCAAAGCACAATTATGAAAACAGAGTCTCGGGCTCCATAATTTGGCTGGATTTGCTTTGAGTGCTCCCTGATAGCATTAATGCACTTTTAATATTTCACTGAGACTGAGGGATGGAAAGGAGAAAAGGGACTAGTTGAATGAATTGGCTAATTGAATTGCAAAACTGATGTCTGCTAACATACAGATGGTATATATTGACAATCAATATATTATTATATATATATTATCAATATAAATTATTTAATTTAGAATAATATGGGTGAATTCAGGTAAATTGGGACACTTTTTGCCATTGAGATGACTGAGAAAATATAATATATTGTGTTATTATATCACAATATATTAAATAATACATAAGGAATATTACCATTTTTCATATATTAAAAAATGTGAAAATATATTAGCTTATACTGTATGTAATTTTATATTCAATAATACACTATAATATATAGATGTACATGGGATAAAATATGGTAATGTGTGTATAAATATATTTTAACATATATTTACTCTATATTCACCATTAAATAGGAATATGTATGTGCAATATAAGCATGTACACAATTTTTGCTATATATATATTTTATACGCATTAATATATAGCCAAACATGGTCCATGCATATATTGCAGTATACTGAAAAATCTAAACGCTAATTTTGCATATATGGAAATTTGATCGTTTTTTGATAAATTATGAAGACATATGCTCTTTGGAATAACGGCTTTGCTTGTGCGTCGTACTCTCCTGAACGCACTGCGAAGACTGACATGGAGGAGAAGTAACCGTTGAATAAAGTCGTTGTTTTTATTTTCTTTGAGCACAAAAAGTGTTCTTGTAGCTTCATAACATTACGGTTGAACCACTGATGTCACACGGACTATTTTAACCATGTTCTTGCTGCCTTTCTGGGCCTGGGGACGTTTCAGTTGCGCTGCTGTCAATGCAGGGTCAGAAAGCTCTCGGATTTCATCCAAATTATCTTAATTTGTGTTTCAAAGATGAACGAAGGTCTTACGGGTTTGGACGACATGAGGGTGAGTAATTAATGACTGAATTTTCATTTTTGGGTGAACTAACCCTTTAAAAACACTAACTTGATGAGATTCATACTTGGCTTTAATAAACAGTATATTGATTACATTGTTATATATAATTTAATTTTTTTCTTTTTCTGACAGTGTAATGTTTATTTAACCAAGAAAATGTGACTGGGACATGAATTTACATTTGATTAAGAAACACACACACACACACACACACACACATACATTACATTTGCATATGGGTTACATGGGTAAAATCTCACAATCTTTAGATTTAAAGTTTCTAAAAGTACGCTTGAGACCGATTTGTCTAATTCGTGTCCACTAACACAAATTCCAGCAGGTGCATTTATCTGTGGTATAAAGGAAAATGAAAGGACGGGAGCTGTTTAAAGAGATTCGAGATGCATGCTTTGAATGGAGCAGACCTATTTTAGACTCCTTCTAGATGAACTCTTCTAGACTAATTTACTCTGGGCATCTGAATGCAGTAATTACGCAGTGACCGTTATGACTGATTGCAGAACTATGCTCCACTTTCAGAGGAAAATCTAAGCTTGAAACTTTCTGTGTGCATGTGCGTGTGTGTGTGTGTGCATGTGCGTGTGCATGTGCATGTGCATGTGCGTGTGTGTGTGTGTGCGCGTGTGTGTGTGTGTGTGTGTGTGCATGTGCGTGTCGCAGCTCTGCAATGCGGTTCTTTGTGGAGTCAAATTTGTAGCTTTGTTCTGTTGATGCCTTGGCTTCTTGGAACACAGTTCTCAATGCTTTGATTCATACAAGCCACCTCAGGTCATACTTTGATCCTCCTGCGCATCGACATTCGGCTGCTTGTTCGTTTTCGTTACAGATGCTTCAAAAAGCAACGGCGTGCGGCGCAATACAATCACGCCTCTCTGAAAGGCGACTAATTAGGAAACGAAAATGTAAGGTTGCCAAGGATACAGGTCACCCAAACTCAAGGGTTAAACTGCAGGGAGAGTTGACGAAGTATGAACTGCACCCACTGACTGCACGCTCTCTTTGCGTTGTTTTAGCATCTGATTCCCTAAAGGAATTAAGCAAATCAGATAACGATGCAAAAAGGCATAAATAATTAGTGCAGGTCGTCTGTGGAGGATGCAACAATCAGGTGAGTTTAATGAGACTGTACAGCATCACGAAAATGATCTGAAAATTCAGAAAGTATACTGGACAACACCGGGAATCTGGATAGATGCGATTATAATGCTCTTTTATATCATTTGATCCTCATTTAATGAAGTACTGCTGCCATGATCAATAAAAATGTACATAAAGGCATTTTTAAATAATATTTTGTTTACCACCAGCCTTCTATAAACAGTAATGGCATATTTAATTATTAAGCACATATATATATATTGAAGGAAATATCACAGTCCTGCATTTGGATTATAAAATGAGAAAATGAAAGATGTAGATAATCTGCATAAATCTATATTATTTAGCATAGTGGCTATCTCATAATGTGTATTGCAAACTGTTGCCATCAAAATAAATAAACAAATAAATAAATTACAAAAGAATCTAATAATAAATATAATATAACAATTAGTATAATATAATTCATATAATAAAAAATAATATTATTATTATTTATATAATATATAATATTTAATATTATATTTTGAAGTTGAAAAATACACATTCGTGTTTTTTTGGGGAGGGAATTATCAGGCATGTTTGCACTGAAAATAATGACGTGTCTTTTAAACTGCATTGTGAGTAGCTACTGAATAAATCTTATGGTTAAAGTATATACTTTGTATGCCGTCCATCGATGGAGTAGAAGAGCTCGCGCAGCTCGTCAGTCGTCAGTATCCCATCTGCAAAGTACGCTTTGAACTCCTCGAAGGACAGCTTCCCGTCATCTGCAAGAAGACACAAGAGGAAAGCATTCAGAGAATCAGCAATCGCATCTGTTACCAAGTTTCCATCCAAGGATTTTTTTTTACGAAAAAAGGTTTAACACATCAAAATGTTTACAGATATAGCTGATGTAAATGCTAATTATCGATAAAATGTCGCAATTGTCATCAAAATATTTTTCTGTTTAACTTTAGAACACAAATCCTATGTCAATACTTCACGAAGAACTAGTTTAGAAACACTTAAAAAAAAAATTGTCTTTAGTGCAAATAAATGACAGAATTACATATGCATCCGTGTTTGTATGTTGCTCCCATGAAATCTTTGTTTCTCAGTAATGTTTAAGGATGTGTTAAATCTATTTAAACTTCATACAAAGTGAAATGCCATAATAAAATATAAATAAAAATAAGAATAAAAATAAAAAAGTGCAGTTTTTTTAATAAAAATGTTTTATCATCAACATTAATAGTCCACACCGCAGTTTATTTTGACAAAAACTATTCATTTAGACAGGAAGAGACTGGCTGATGGACAAGCAAAGCCACCAATCACAGTTTGTTTTGTTTTTACGTGCTGTTTAGGGGCGGGTTTAACTTTTAAACTTTTTTAAAAACTGTCTACTACAAGTACATAAAATATCAAATCAACTGTGGAAAAGTGTGCATCCGAAAGTAATAAGTACAGATTTCAATAAACAGTTGCTTGTGCATATCTAGTTTATTTCCTCAAACAAAACTGCATCTTTTAAATATCTGATGCCACGAACCTTGCATACTTTGGAAATTAGTTCTTATTCACTCATTGTTCATAATATCAGTCCAGTACCTTGTGGAGTTATGCAACAACCAGATGAGTTTAATGTGACTGTACAGCATCACGAAAACACTTGAATTGATCTTACAATGCAGAAAGTGTCCTTGACTACACTGTGCATCTCGATAGATGCGACTTTAACACTCTTCTACATAATTTCATCATCATTTAATGAATTACTGCTGCCATGATGATCAATAACATTAAAAAAATAATAATATTCAGTTTATCACCAACCTTCTATGAACAGTAATGCCATTTAAGTGCATTATTGCACCAGAAAAATAGCATTGAGTTTTGTAAATGAGTTGCAATACATAAATTCCACGCTGCATACTAAAAAGTGCATATTGAAATGGTTGACAGTTTATTCTGACAAAAAAACACCCATTTAGACAGAAAGAAACATGCAAAGTGACCAATTACAGTTTGTTTTGCTCTTACTTGATGTTTAGGAGTCGGTTTAACTAAAATACTCTGTGTACATAAAATATCAATTAATTGTGGAAATGTGTCCATGCAAAAGTAATGCAGATTTCAATAAACAGTTAAATATGAAATAAATTTGATTTCCTGATGGCCTGGAATGAACCTGTGCACCTTGACTCTTGAAAAATTGTGATGTAGTCTAGTTGGAGCTTGCAATGTTAGCTAGATCTTTCCAGTTCAAATACATCAAACAGTCAGCGAATGGACCGGAGGTTGAGATAGCCTCGTTTACCCCGTCTGAAATGCAGTCTCCTCAGCCCACGACGAGTGTCTTTATTAGGTCAGATGAACACCTGGCAATGCTTTTTACTGACAGCAGATGTCGTAGATCAACCTTGATACGTGAACTACTGTCTGCTGTTAGTGCATCTGTTCTTGTTATTAGGTAAAGTAGAGAATGCGTCATCCATCAAGAGCCCAAAGAGAAATATACACCGCTATATGTGACAGCACTCATTCATGGCTGACAGATCGTCTAAATCACTTCTTCCCTGAACACGTCGCTGAGCATTCGTCTCTCTGACATTTACCAGCCTCCTGAAAGACACCAGAGATTCTTTTAGCCCTCCAGTTGTGCATTTGAGGTTTGATGACACTCCAGCTTAATGTCAGGCTTGGCTTTTCACAACGTGAATGTGAGAGGAAAACTCTGGCATAAGATCTAAAATAGCCAATATCAACTAGCCTAAGAGAAAATGATGTGCAAAAAAATAATGCATGTGCAAACCTGATGCCGTGATGTAGCTTTGCAGTTGCTAAAACTGACATATGAAATAATAGTCTCTTTTTTGTTTGCATACGTTGCGTTTTTTGTTAGGTATAATCAGAAATCAGGGTTTTATGGCTCATATGTGACCCTGCCTGTTAAAACCCAGCTAAAGTCATTTTTTTGTGATTTACTGTTTTCTACATAAAATCATCCTTCATAAAGATGTAGAACATTCTGTGAAAACATAACCTTTAAATCTTTAATATTGCCATGTCAGAGATTGAAATCATAGTGAAATTAATGGTTGAAATCAAACTTTGATGCTTGTTATCTCATAATTAGATTTAGAGACTTTAGCCTGGATTTCACAGACAGGGTCACATTTAGTATGATATAGTGAAAATATGGAGTTCATACTCGAGGAGGAAAAAACACCTCAATTGTATTCAGATATGCAATTTGCAATGCATTTGGTGCATTTTCTAATCTTTATACTGCCAAAAAGTAAGATGAAATTCTAATTCTGCTTGTAATGTAAATGAATGAGGTCTTTATAACAGTAAAAATGCATATAAATATCAGTCGTCACTCTATATCTCCAATAATATGACTTAGTATTTAAATGATCCAAACATATAATGCAGTGATTGAGAGCTGAAGAAATAAATGCTCCTCAGAAGATGTGAGATGTTCTGGAGGCTTGTGAAGATCATTCCTCCGCTGAGGAACAGTGAAAGTAAAGCTTCTGGAAACAAACGCTCCTCAAAAGATCCTGAGGATCAGATTTGAGACTCTAAAACATGATTGATGGAGAATCAAGTAAAGCTGAGCTGCTTCAGTCCAGTAAGTGTTCATCTGGAGATATTACTGCAGTTATTCTGACGCTTACTTGATCAAAAAAACAGTCAAGATTGACAGCAGAAAGATACGTGAAGCTCCAGCTGAAGCTGGACATTTGTACAATTAGACAAAAAGATCTTTGACTGGATAAAACACTCTAAACGATCAATCAGACGAAAGAAAGCATTGAGTAGACTGTGTGCGAAACAGGTTTAACAGCATCATGTTGATCATTTAGAGCTTTAGAAATTCATGTATCACATTCGATCCAGTAGGTTTTAAAGCGTTAAAGAAGATTAGATTGAGATTCAGAGGAAGTTATTTACTACAGCAATATATACAGTAGCCTGTGTTTGCACCTCTGAGAACTTTTATATTGGAAAAGAGAAAAGTTTCAGGCATAAATCAAAGCGAGATTGCAATGAGAAGCAGTCTGTCTCCAGGGCCAGAGATCAGACGAGAGCATCAGTTCACTCCTCTTTGAGAAACAACAATACAACGGAAATTAAGGTCAAACACTCAAAGCATCACTTATAAAGCACACATTTTGATCTAGACATCAACTACCCTTACCAAAAAGTAGTATACTTCAAGTTTATTTTAGTAAGTATACTTAAGTAAAGTTCAAGTAATCAAAAGAACAATAATTAGACTGATTCTGTTAAAATGGCTCAAAAGGTAAATTGTAAGTGTTCGGACTCGCGATTCGCACCTGGTGGACGATAAAACAGGAAAGAAAACTACCACCTTAAAAATCACAGATACAGGTTTACTTGATATAAAACTCTTGCACACATCAGCTAGACATCTGATTCACAAATCTGCAGTTTTACTCACACATGAAAGTGGTTTTTAGCTGAAAACTACATTTTTGTGGCCAAATGGATACTTAATTACACCAGAGGCTCGAAGCGGCAGTGGACATATTCAATGCATTAGAACACTGTCCAACGTCTCCAATTAATTCAAGAGCAAATCTGACGGCCATCTGTGTTGTCTCTTCACAACAGACGGTATCACTGATCAGACTCTCCGCTTCAGAGCCAAATAGTGCCACCTTCTTCATTCTCCATCTTTGGGTAATTAAAATACACACCAATCAGCCAAAGATGCACTTAAGAAGAAAACAATGTTTTGACCAGAAACTGAATTATGCTGGAAGAAACATCAGCACTTTCAGAACGGAAAGAAAGATTGCAGTTTTCTCTCCAGAGAACTTCTGTAAGCCTCTAGAAATTTAGTGGGGCTTTGAACTGCATTATGCACAAATATCAGACACAATGGCTTCATTTACAACACAGGTAAATCTGTTTTTAAATAACAGTGTGAACGGCAAAAATCACATCTGATCTCAGTTGAATTTTCAGTTTCAATCTGGGTTAGTTTCATTGAAATAAATAAAAAATGTATCTGTTTGCACTATATGAAATATTACACAAAAGTGATAGAAGTGATATAATACTATACGCTACCATTTGAAAGTTTGGGGTTTGTGAGATTTTTTAAAGAAATTTGTTGTTTTAAAACTAAATTCACTAAAGGAATTAATGCAAATAATTGTGCAAATTAACTAAATTGATCAAAAGTGACAAATACATTTACATTAAAAATATTTATATTTTAAATAAACGCTTCCTAATTTTCTATTAATCAAAGAATCCTAAAACAATAAATAAATCAATAAAATTTAAAAAAAATCACAAAAATATTTATTGATCAACAAATCAGCATATTAGAATGATTTCTGAAGGATCATGTGACACTGAAGACTGGAGTAATGATGCTGAAAAATTTAGATTTGATCACAGCAATAAATTACATTTTACAATATATTCACATAGAAAACAGTTATTTTAAATTGTAATAATATTTTACAATATTACAG